AGTTTTCAAGTGTAACATTGAACCTGTGAAAGAGCCATTAAATGATAATGAAACCATTTAACAGGCATGTGCCAACCCTGAATTTACTGACCAAAACAGTTGTTCATTATTATGCCTACAGGACTTTAGTTTAAAATTTGCTTTAAATGATTTCATTAGTTTGTTGCTGAAGATTATAAAAATCACATCACTAAAAAAATCCTTGCATAAATATTTAGATGGATAATCTTAATATTCAGGTTTAGCCTTAAATGCTTGGATCTTCAGACACATCGTTTTTTTAAACCAATTCTTCAAAAAGACCTCCCTCATCTAAAATACTCTATATTAATTAAAATTAATATAGTACAAAAACTTTCTAAGTCTTGCAGTCCTTTCTATCCATCCCTATTCTCCTCTCCCCCCCCTCCCTCCCGCCGCCCCCCAAAAAAAGCAAAACATTATTTTTCTTCCAGACAGCAGGACAAATGACTTTTTCCTTTTACTTCTATTTGATGAACTAGTTTTAAGAGAACCCCCACCAAATTCAGTACCTTATTAAGATATAAAATCCTTTGTTATACCTAAAATATTTGGCAACATATTTTTAACATCAACATACAGTGAAATTTCATAAACACGTCTTGTTATGAAAACCATACAAAATAAATTAGTGTTCCCTTTGTCTAAAAGCAATGGACTTTGTTATGGACACACTAACCCACTCTGTTTCAGTGAGTTTAAATATGTAGTGATCTGGAATGATTACTTTATGAAAGCTACCGATGAAGAAAATGTAAAAACAGAAAGGGCTGCATCATGCATTCTACGATATTTAATGTTGTAGTCAACAGGATAACTCCCTTGCCCTTACTTTACTATAGAGTGTTTCCAGATAAATCTCTTGACAAACATCAGGGCATAGCAAAAACTGTGACAGACATTTTTTATTCACAAATTTAGTGATTTTAATTAGGCGTCTTCTGCATGTCCAGTCTTCACAAGTTAACATGCAGTGAAAAACATACTCTACTTTCTTTAGAACATTGTTTTTTCCAAATGTCATTTGATACATTTGAGTTCAGGGGTTTGGCTTGAATGGGTGAACAGAAAGAAAAGGGAGACAGTGGGGAGTGGGAGAAGCCTGGGCGGGGGAAGGGCGGAATATGGGCAAGGCTACAGACTGGGAAGCTTGCCTACAGAAGCAGCAGCTGCACCCACCCACCATGCATATGACCATGACATGTGGATGCAGGACTCTGCTGACCAGAACCATTAGCAAGAGTTAGCCTGCATAAAGCTACACAGCCAGTTCTGCTGATGACCCCTTATTCCTACCAAGACAGGTAGATTTAGCATCCAGATTGGAAGGTGCTGTAGCTATTTAGCACACAGAGGGGAATGTCAGAGTTAATTTACCTCTGCCTTGTCCCGTTATGGTTTGGAGCACTGTTGACAAGACATAAGGAAACATAATGGGAAAGCAAGAAGGGGGTTGTCATGCTCCAGTGAAACTAAGCTGGTGTGAGGCTTATGCAAGCTGTCTTTGTTTCCCTTTTTATATTAAGTTTCATAAAACCTCAATTTTAAACCCATCCCTGGCCAGGGAGTGCAACATTTGGCAAGCACAAGCAGGAGAGGCTGAACTGCAGTGATCTAACCTCTTTGAGAGATGGAACCTACCTAGAAGCTGCTGCGGGCTGTTCCAGGGCAAGCTGCCAGATCATAATGGAAGCAGAAAAGCAAGTGTGCACAAAGTTTTCCTGGGAAGCAGAAGGGGAAACTGTTTGCAAGCACTACCACTGGGAGAGAGAACATTGTTATGGAGGTAGAGGGACTCCTATACAAGCAAAAAGATGAGCATTTAAGAGAAGCCTGTGACTGGACATGTCTGGGATAGGCAGCAGTAAAACCATCAAAAAGCCATTTGACTGTAGTTAAACTTACAAGCAGTCACTTACAGGGTTGGGTAATCAGGGACTGTCTACTTAACTGGTGTTAAGAGAAGATTTTACAACTTATTGCTACAGCAAAGGAAGCTCTTCAGTGCCCTATAACGCCGAGCCTCAGTGGGAGTAGTTGCCAGGACCCAGCCTGAGACAGGACTGAGTGCTTGCAATGCTAATCCTTATCAATTAACTGTGCAGATGACTTTTTTTTTTGTCGATTACATGATTCATGAATTACACCCTTCTTAACATCCCTAGCTGCAGTTTACCTGATGAGGTACCAGCACTTCACCTTATTAACATCGTGAAACCGTTTCCTCACGAGCATAGCCAATGTGGCAATTCTTATGAACTTCATCAGACAACCAATTTTGACAACTTCCACATGCTTACAGCTGGAGAGAGGGTATGCTCTCTATGAAGGAACAGTCAGTACTGCAGCATGTTGGGTTCTTACAGGTGTGGATGCTGAAAGTTTAATAGCAATATCTGAGACAGATGCTGCTGCTCACTGGCCCGAGGACCTGCACATGAGACATGTTCGCCAAAATACCTAAAGGATCATCTTGCCAAATAAACATCCCTGTGAGTAACCCTTCAACACATCACTCAATGCCGAGGGGATGAATTGTACTGGGAAGTTGACTGAAAATTAAATCTGAAATTCAAGCAGATACTCAACAAATAAAGCCTTTTCAGGTGGTATGAGTGTTTAAGAAGAGATGGTCATACCAAGTATCAAAGACTAAAGCCAGTAAAGAGAGTAGCCTCCAAGCAGAAGGGATGACACATCTGTTTGAACCAGCAGTGAATCTGAGCCATTTGGCAGAGATGTGAAGGAAAATGTCCTAGCAGATACTGAAAAAAGAGCCCAAAAGGAGCCCAAAACTTTTCCCAAAGATGACACACGGAATATATCTCTAGCTTACAGGTGACATGATCCATACAAAAGACTTACATCTCAGTGCCACATCCACTATATAGAGAAGTAAAGGAATGTCTGCAAGAGCTCCTAAACAGGACCTGAATGACAATACCTATCCAAGTCATCCTATCCATCACCAATGGTTACATATCTGGAAAAAGGATGGTGCGTGAAGATAAAATTCTGCATTGATTACTGGGAATTGAATGAAAAATACTACCAAACTGAACTCATCCCTCAAATCCATGAACAGACTAGACTGGGAGGTAAATCCAGTTCTTTATTTTGGATCAAGGGAAGGCCCACAAGTTACATGGCTGTACAAAGCCAACACATCATGTCCTTCATTACTCCCTGAGCCTGTAGGAATAGGTTAGAATCCCTTTTGATTTAACAAATGCGCCTGCTGCCAGCTAGGAGATACGGACAAGTGCCGCATGGACCTTTGGGATGAGGTATGTATTGCACACTTACAGCAGTACCTTTGCAGAACACATGGAGAATATAAAAGAGATATTGCAACAATTACAGAAACATTGAATTAAGCTGAAAAATTCTTAATGTAACCTCTTTAAAAGAGAGATATGTGGTGAGAGAATGTCTGCTGAAGTTTATAAGATGGAGCCAGCTAACACCACTAAGCACAATAGGGGAAACTTCATAAGATGTCAGGATTCCTCATCTACGACCAAAGGTACAGTATATTCAAGGCTTCTCTCTAAGGGTGTCTCTACACAGTGGCCATTATTCCAAAGTAAAACGTGAGTGTCTACACATGAATTAAGTTATTTCAAAATAAATTTGAAATAACGGATGGCTTATTCCGACTACTGAAACCCTCATTCCATGAGGAATAACACCTATTCTGAAATAGCTATTTCAGAATAGCAGTAATGTGGATGCTCCACTGCTATTTCGCCAGGTCCATTGAAAGTAATTACTCCCCAGTGCCTCCTGGGGCTCTAAATCGAGGTAGCACATCCACACTAGGGAAGCCTGCATCGGACTAATTTTGAGGCTTCCCTGTAGTATAAATGTGCTATTTCGAAAGAAGCTAATTTGGAGTATTTCTTCCGGCATAGCTTATTCTGAAATAAGCATGCAGTGTAGGACACGCCCTAATAGAAAAGTCGTCATATGTCTCATCCAGTCTTTGCTTCTCAAATTCTAAGGCCAGAGTGGACCACGACAACCATGTAATCTGACCTCCTGTCTAACACAGGCCATAGGACTTCCCTAAAACATCTCAGAGGCGATCTTTTAGAAAAACCTCCAATCTTGATTTAAAATTTGTCAGTAATGGAAAATTCATCCAGCTCTCCCTGTTGAAAATTTACACCTTATTTCCAGTCTGAAGTTATGTAACATCAATTTCCACTCATCGGATCATGTTATGCTACATGCAAAAGCCCATTATTAAATATTTGTTCCCAATATTTGATAAGACTGTAAATAGGTCACCCTTAATCTCCTCTGTGTTACACTAAATATATTGAGCTTCTTGTGTCTACCACTATAAGGCATGTTTTCTAATCCTTTATTCTTGTGGCTCTTCTCTGAACCCTCTCCAATTTATTAACACCCTTTTTAAATTGTGGGCACAAATGGACACAAGATTCCAGCAGTAGCTGTACCAATACTAAATCTGAGGTAAAGTAACACCTTTACTTCTGCTTCAAATTCCCCTGTTTATGCATCCAAGTTGAATTAGATCTTTGGGCCACCGTGTCACATAGGGAACGCCTGTGCAGCGAAGTATCCAAAATTATTTTGGTGTTGTGAGGCCTTGCAAATAAAACAGCAGGAGAAATGGCAAATGCTAAATCACATCCCACCAGCAAGAAAGCAAGATAGAAAAACAAATGCATTTCACACCGTCTCAAATGGAGAACTCTGTGAGCTTAACAGAGGGAGATGAAATCCCTATATTTATTTTTGTCATTTTTCAATGTGATGGCTATGTTGTTTGACTTCTACAGCATGTCAGTTATAAAAAAATTAATTGTTGCAAAACTTATAAAATGTACTTTGATATCAGCATCTTCCTGTGGTATCAGTAGACAAGTCTGGGAGATTACATGTTTTTGTGATGTTATTTCAACTACTTCTATTCATCCCTGATCAATAAAGCAAGTGTTTAATCTTACTGTAACTGCATACAGCAGCTTGGCAAGCTCCAGCAGCTTCTTTCAGGATCTCCAGGTCAAGTGAAGAGAATCACAGCGGAAAGTGATGTATCGATCCTGAAAAGGTGAAAAGTGGAATCATTTGAGGAACTACTGGTAAAGAGGGGCCCTTAGAATTACATATACAAAAAAGTAAGAGCCAGAAAACAGTTGACATGGGGCAAACTAATTTGAATACCAGCCAGTGATTGGTCCGGGAGGCAGGATGGACGTCTCCACTGACCATTAGAGCTTCACAGTTCAAAAAGTAACAACATTCTGAAGGTGGGAGTGAACAAACAGCTCTCTTACCTTTTACTCCTCTGAATGGCATGCAGATGAGTACAGCAAAGATCCCTTTTCCATAGATGGTTCAATTATACAGAAGTGACGGATACATCTTGTCCTAAATGAAACTCCTACAAAGATTGAAGAAACTGTTTTTAGAAGGAAATCCATCTGGAGCAGAAACACACCCTGCCAGCAAGACCCACTCTCCAGGCGATGTAGTAAAAATGGGCCAGCACAGAAGGGCCAGGCTAGAAGGGTGAAGCCCTGAGAAGCCTCTACTATCAGAGTCCTGTGGAACCCTAGCTAGGATTTTAAGCATGCTACTGCATGGCCTTTGCTTTCTTAAGCAAATCTTCTGCTACAGGGTATGATTTGCTTCCCATACTGCATCCAAAGGAGTTAATCTGTCCCACTAAGTGCAAAATAGGGAAGTTGGGCTCTTAAGATAGAATTCAAAGTGGTGAGAGGAGAGAAAATACACTTAGTGGTTCAGTTTATTAATGCTCTGTGGGAGATTTTATTAATTAAAACCAAGTCAGTCAAGCTCCTCAGACTATAACTTGGTCACCAAAGCATGAAAAGTTCCTGTGTACACACAAGTCAGCTGAAACTAGCAAACACGACAGGTCATCTTCTGATACCCAAGGAAGGAAGAATCTGTCTGTTCTCTCCTGACCAGAGATGTGAACAGGCAACAGTTAACTGGTACCCAGGGAAGCCTCCTGCCCATGGCCTATCACAGGCAGAGGGGCTGCTCCAGCGCTGCAGGGCTGTCAGCTCCCAGCCCGCATAAACTGAGAGTCCACAGCCTTGCATGTGGGGCTGGAAGCAGCAGCTGAAGGGGGGAGGGGAACTGATTTCTGGCCCACCAGCAGCCCAGCATGGGACCAGAAGCGAGGGGGCCACTCTAGCCCAGCTGAGGCAGGCAGGAGCAGCCACTCCTGCCCCCCACCCCCTTTAATCAGTTAATGGGTTACACTTAATGTTTCACCAGTTAACTAATTAAACAGAACATTACATCCCTACTCCTGACCAGGAAGGCACTTGTAAGCAGAGACAGGTATGTCTCCCTTGCACTGAAACAATATTTATAGGGGACTCAGGATTAAAAGTACACTTCTGATCTGTAAAATGACAGTGGCAGAATTAATGACTGGGAGACCCTTTAACTTGTGTGAATTAGCAAGTAAAAAACAAAGAGAAGGCATCACAAAATATAGTCTATTAACTTAGTCTAACTATAGTATGGCTTTAATTATAATGCTGCACAGTACAACATTTCATTAAATGAATGAAAACTTAATAGGAAAAGCTATAATGTAGTCTCTTATTGAATCTCTGCTGAGAGGCCGGGAAACTTTTTGTGCACTTTAGCAAGGTTCTATTGTATAGAAAACAGTATCTTTTTACCACTTTTGGGAAATAATAACTGATACTCAGAGAACAATAGTAGAGAATAGAGCTGGCTTTAAAAAGTGTCTTCTTTCAAAATGTAATTAAAATTCCACAATTCAAAAGTGTTCAACCAGCTCTTGTATAGAGCATATGCTTCTTTCCATGGTTCTTGGTTGGCAAACCAAGTTGGTTCATAAAGACAGCTTAAGAAATCTGAAATCTACTCTTTAAATAATTTCCCTCCTGGTTGACAATAGGTATGTAAGAGTTTAACCGATAAGCATCACCTTATTGGTTGCAGTTAAACTCTTCTACCCTGCTGGCCCCAACCCTGGAGCTGGGTGCTGCCCTGCCCTGTTTAGAGTATAAGCTATAAGGCTGAAACTACAGAGCCCGCAGCACAGGCAGCTCCCTGGGAGCAGGGCCTGCAGCCAGAGCTGGTGCACGCTGGAAGCCAGCTTATAAGCCAGCTGCCAGCCCCACTACCAGGGTACCGGCTGCCGCCTTGCACTGTGGGCTTTGATGTGCACCAGAGGGTGGCAGCCAGCTCCCCAAGCACGAGGCCAACAGCCACAGACAGTGCGCACTAGGAGTCAGCTTATTCTGTAAGTTAGGTCTTGGCGTGCACAGGCTTCTGGCCCCACTCCCAGGGAGCTGAGCTGCAGATGCTGCAGCATAACCCTTATACTGCAAAGCCCGTGGCACATATAACCGTGTAACCACTAGGATTTTTAACGGTTACATGGTTACTTTTTAAAAACCTTTTTAAATCCCTCATTGACCAGAGGATAGGAATTAAAGTGGAAATTAGCTATTGAGGCGTGTTACTTCTAGTCCCCTTCTATTCTATCTAATGCTCACTTGCAGAGAGCTTACTAGATATAAAGAAACACACATATTAATACTCATTTGGCCTGATGTCTAGAAGATAGTGGTTTTGTTATTTGATCTTCCACAGTCCATCTAATAGGTATGACATAAAGAGGTTAGCATTGTAAGAGAGGATTTCAGAGTGGCTAAAAATTCACTCAAATTGTAATGTACTTGCCCTGGATATAAAAGGCCATTCCTCTGTCAAAATAAAGAAAATCCTCAATCCATTCTGTAGATTTTCAGCTGCATCTTCTTAAAGCCCCAAAATAAAGCCATTCAGAGTCACCCACATAGCTCTATCAATGCCCCCTTGATTTTGACCTCCACCATCCTCTGCTATACCTACTCCATACGTCTCTTAAGAAGAGAAGCTGCCAAATAGGTCACATTGTTTAACAGCTGTGTGATGTGGAAAGAACATCTATTAGGCACTGTAGTAAGAATCTGAAACTCACTTTCACTCGTAGAAGAGAAAGAAAATCTTGAGCATCCAGAAGCTATAAAACAAGAAGCTAAGTTACAAAAAACACTGGGTCAAGTTCGTTCCTTATGAGACGCCCAAATGAGATCCATTCAGTGACACAACAGGTGAACTTTGTGTATACCTTCAAGAAGCATAAATTACATGCAGAAGGATTTCAGAGAGAAAGACAGAAGACAAGCCAAGAAAGATAAATTATGTATCACTAAAGACAGCTGCAATACTGAACAAAACACCCAGTTTAATGCCTTTGAACACAATTAGGTAATAAATGACCACTGGTTACTATCTAAAATATTTCTTTGATACTGTTCACTTTGGCATCTCAGCAATGTCGTATTTCACAGGATTTAGTGATGTATAACACAGAAGAATGAGGAAATCTGGGATAGTCAAAGCATCTATAAAACTAACTGTGATGACTATATTGGCAAACAGCCTAAGTCAGCATAAAAAGGATTTATCCTTAAGCTTTTGGATTGGCACACTATTGAGAGATGCCTCCAAGAGTAGCACCTAAACCTTCCTCTCATATAGCCCTCTGAATTATTATTAGGGTTACATAGGAACCCCAATCAGGGTCCTATATTGAGCAAGATATTGGATAAATATCAGAGAAGACAGTCATGGCCCGAGAGCGCTTACTATTAGAGCCCTGAACAGATATACAAATGTAGATCCATATCCAATCTGCATCCACCAGGCTCAAGACCCCATCTTATCCATAATCCACGATCCAAATTTTACTTGTATCCACACAAGAAATCTGGAGGCAGGAGGGAGAAGAGATGAGCAAGGAGGGGACAGGGTCTTGCAGGGAAGAGGCAGGCAGCAGCCAGGAAAGTATGTGTTTGTAAATAGGAGGGGTTGTTAGGGTTGCCAGATGGTTTAACTAAAAATACCGACACCCCCCCCCCCCCCCCGCAAAAAAAACCAAAACAAACCAAAACCACACCACACCAGGGAAAAAATTCTGTTGAGGGGGGAAAAAAAGGGAGGGGGGGGAGTTGTTGGGGGGGAGAAGGACCCCAAGAGTAAAGCAAAAAACAAAAAAAAACAAAACAGCGTGGCCCCTTTAAGAAAAGCCTTTGAAGCTTTTTGCTGGGGGAGAGAGGGTGGAAGCAGGCTGGGCCTGGTTTCTGAGTGTGTCGTAAAGTTGCCAGGTGTCCAGTATTTTTGCCTCCTGGCGGGGGGGAAAATCAGAAAATACCAGACATTTTAGGTGTCCGGTATTTTCTGAATTTTTTTTTTTTACCTGACAGGAGGCGAAAATACCGGACTGTCCGGGTCGATACGGGACACCTGGCAACCCTAGGGATTGTCACGTTGCTTTTTTATTATTAGTCTCTTTTGAGCACAGCCATTTGTGTTCCAAGATACAGAAAGAGGACAGGAGGGAGAGAGGGGGGTTCTGGAGCTATGTATTGGATTTCCACTCTTGTTTAGCCTGCTGATCTTTTTAACTGTGTGCCGGGGGCTCTGCACCTCAGTGTTCACTAGGCCAAGGTGGGGGAGGAGGGAAGAGGGAGGAGAGGGCCCAGGCAGGGCTGGCATTCAGCCCCTCCTGCAGGGATTTTTAGGACATTTTCTTGCATCCTTTCCTTGCTGGCAGTACAGGGGGCTGCCCAGTCACACTCCCTCCCCCTTCACCTTCCATGTGGCGAGAGTGGAAGGGAGAGCCCTACACAGGTATTCACTCCATCATCTGTAGATATGAAGCAGATATCTGCAGATAAGCAGGGCTCTACTTACCATCTATGTGAGACACAGAACACACAGCCGGACCAACCAAGGTGATGATAAAAATGAAATAAACAGAGTTAAGCAGAAGTCACAGTTTGTCACCAGCTAATCACCTAAACAATCTACTTCTGACCTGAGAAATACCTCTGTCCCATTTGGCAAAGTACGTATGATCGCTGGATGGCAGATGGTTGTGTCAGTCAAGTCTAAATGCAACCCTGCATATTGAGAAAGCTGGAGAACACTCTGCTTATATTACAGGTGAATTACTGAAGAGATTGAGCTGTTGTGGAAGGAGAGGTGATGGGAGTTTGCACAATCTTAAAGATGGAATTCCAATACCAGGATTAGATTTGTACTTTGACCGGGCAGCGAGTGACAAACATAACTGCCACCACCTGCTGAGTTTGGAGGTGTGCACCTCAAAGCCTGCCTGCTTAGGGGGAGCCAGCTTCATGCATTGCCTTTTGAAAGTGAAAGACTCCACAAAGGATCAACCGCTGCACTGCTAGATGCAAAATGAACGATGTCGTTTAACACATTCTTAAGTAAAGATGCCAAAACAATTTCAAGGCAAAGAGAAATAACCAACTATCAGCAAGGAAGCACCTATTCTGATTTCCCCTGAAGAGGCAA